TAGAGGAAAAGCAGAGGAAGGAAAAAGAAATGCAGAAAGACTTCCTGTGATACTCAGAATGAGCAACCCAGCATCAAGTGAACAGTTTTATTTCTTCCTGGCTGAAACCCCAACTGATTTCCCGCGTCATCTGATGACTTAATTGTCTTAGTGACTCCTGGGATTCTCGCGCAGCCTTGCTTCTGTTCACTCTGGGCGCCTGCGTCTCTCGCTGGATGCTGATTGCTGATTAGAGCAGCCGGCCGTCTTTCAAATGCACAGTGAATTGTTCCTCCTTTTATGCCGCTGTCTTATGAAGGTGTTAAAAATGCCACTCTGAAAGATAGGGCTTGCAGATTGTTGAGTTAAATTGTGCGTGGCAGGAGCTACAGAGGTGTTACGTCTGGTGGTTTCCATGCAATGTGGCATCTTCCCAGATAGACAACTCCCCGCACATGGGGCATTTGTGCAAGGTGACACTGCTGCACTGTGGAGGCTGCCAGGTAGCGCAGCTGCTTCCACGCCTTCTGATGTTCGCCGCTTCTCTCCATTCTGGGCAGACAGAACTAAATGTGCATCCGAGCAGGGAAGGCAGAATCTGCACTCAGGTCTAAACGCTGGCACATGATGACGACTTCCGCTCATTCTGCTTCGTGTGCAGGGATGTGAAACACAGTGCAGGGGAAATAGCCTGCGAACTGAAGGAGTTTTTCAGAATCCATAGTGGCGCGTCAGTGTCTCCTAGGACACACAGCCATGCAGAAGTGTGATGACTCGGCCTCTTTCCCACCAGTTTTGTGCTGAGGAATCTCTCGACTGTGTGGGCGATCTGATTAACTCCCATCCCTTCCCTGTGTCATCTGGCCGCAGGAACTGGAGCTGGAAGATGCCTCTGTGAGCTGGTCCGGGCTTTGCCATCTACCCTTTCCAGGGGTAGGTGTGCTGTTGGTCCCAGGTCCTGGGCAGCAGGATGGTTCTAGATCTCAGCTCACTCTGCATCCAGAAATCTCACCTCAAGTCCAGTGATCAAGAGAGACCCAACTGTGAAATACCCTTTAATGGGTGCTAATTTTTTTCATGTTTTTTAGAAAACTGGTGAAATTGACATAAATTACAACTGACCAGTCCAAGTCATATTTACTGCATCGCAGGACCGAGTACCCACTGCCTACGCAATGGCTGACGTGTTTCCATTGCCTTGAGAGAAGACCCAATGGTGAGTCACTTTCATGCCACCTGCCGACCAGCTACTGTCAGTCTCGACTGATTCACATATACAGATAGTTTATAAAAATGGAATCACATACTCTGCGTCCTCCAGGCAGGCTTCCTTTCCTTAGCAAACCATTTGGAAATTCCTCCATGCTGTGGCATGTATCAGCACTTTGTGTTTGACGAGTCCTCGTTTATAAACTTTCATGCTGTGATGTGTATTTTGGTGTTAAGTCCTGGGCCTGCGTTTTGGGAGTCTCACAGCTCAGTCACTAATGTTTGTCAAAGAGGCGTTTCCTGCCATCACACGGGCAGGGGAGCTGTGCTGAAACCAGCTCCTTGTGGTGCAGCCTCTCCTGGGAGCTCCCTTCCGTCCTGGTGACCCGTGTGCCCGGCCTAGCCTGGCCTCACATGGTCCAGGTCCCTGTAATAATGTCATTTTTGAAACTGGAGAATGTGATGCTTCCAACAGTGCTCTTTCTCAGAATTGTTTGGTTCTTCTGGGTCTCTTGTACTTTGGTGTGAACTGAGGAGTGTGTCTCCCATTTATCTTTATAAAAACAAAAACGAGAAAGCATGGAGAATTGTCATGGGAACTGAACTGAATCTGCAGATCAGTTTGAGTAGTGTCCCTGTTCAGGGGTCTCGTCTTTCCATCCAGGAACACAGGTGTCTTTCCTTTGTCTAAGTCTTTCAAAGATTTTCTGCTGGGTTTTGCAGTTTTCAACATAAAAGTTTTTGATCTCTTTGACTAAATTTATTTGTAGGTAGTGTATTTTGGATTTTTATTTTAGAGACTGATCATAGATGGAAGTAACTTTTTCTAAAGATTTTGATATATTAGCTATTGACAAGTTATCTGCAGGGAAGTTTACCTTTGCTCTAATAACACTGATAGATTTCCACCTTTCATTATTAAGCTTTTACTTCCACAATTTTTTAAAGTAATGCCTAGTTACTTAGCTAAAGGGGGCAGTGGGTAGAAATTCACCCTTGTTCATCTTTAGAAGCCCCTGCAACATGCCTGGCCTATGTGATGCGTGGCTCCCATGGATCCAGCAGGGCAGCTATGACTCGGGGGTCTAGGCCTGCAGGAGAAGCTCTGGGCCAGCCTGAGCCAGTGATGCTGCTGTGTAGCATCAGATTTCATTTCTGTAACTTAGCAGCTACTGAAAAATCATCCTTTAACAATATTAATATCTCTTTGTCTCTTCTTCCTTCCTCCCCTTCTTTTTCGCTTTCTTTTTTTGGAATCAGAGATCAAACCCAGGACATTCACACTGAGCTCCATTCCCAGCTCATTTTTGTATTTTATTTTAGAGACATGGTCTTACTAAGTCGCTAAATTGTTCACATTAAGCTTAATCTTGTGATTCTCCTGCCTCAGCCTCCCAGAGTGCTGGGGTTACAGGTGTGCACCGCCATACTGGGCTGACATTTTCCTGTTGCTTTACTGAAATGTAAAGAAAATGATCATCAGAACTTCCTGCCTTGCTCTGAACTGATCAAGGCTGGTTTGGTGGGGAGCACGGTGAGCTATGGCTCAGGGAGAGGCAGGGCTCTTTTGTGATTTAGGGTTCTAACAAAATCCTAGGATTCTGTGGTGAAAGCCCTAAGGACCTCCTAGGGAGAAGAAGGCACAGTCAGGAGAGAGTGACACTCTGAGCTATGAGAGATTGAGACTTCAGGGTTCGAACTGTGGGAGGTGTGGTTAGGGGCTGTCGTGGGACCTGCGTACCTGGGCTGGCACTCAAGCACACTCTGAGGTGCCTCTCGTTACTCACTCCTGGCAGCATTTCTCCAATATACAGAGAGACAGAAGCCTTTCCCTTCTGAACTATGAAGTTAGAAAGATAGGAAAATATTGTGTCATATCACTTTTACCAATTTCTCTTCCTAATGCTGATGGATTAACAAATAAAACTCTTGAGTGGTTGGTGGGGGAAACTCAATGTGCTAGAGCTTTTCTGACTTAGGGTTGCTTTTTATCAGTTCCATGCTAAATTATGTTAGGGAGTAATATAAGTTTTTAATTAACTAAGTAGACTCGGACTGTTGATCTTGTTCAGCTCCAGCTGCAGTGGAAATCTGTATTTGGGGATGAAAGGACTTGTGCTTTTTCCTGAGCCACTACAGCAAACTTAGAACTTTGCCAATAGTATTTAAGTGGTATCGCTTTGCATTCGGGTTGGGAAAGCTGAGAGTGCTGCAGTCAGCAAGGGGGACCCTGTGTCTTCTCGTGGTCTCGCTAGCATCTGTTTTTCCTTTGTTGTTGGCCTGTGGAGTGATGGCTTGACCTTCCCACTGGGTCACTGACAATGGTATCACTAGTCACGAGTATAGGGTGATGCCGTTCATCTGACCAAGAGCACTGCCCTGCATGTGATAACCCAGTAAGGTACAAACTGGTAAATAAGCAGGGAAAGCCCAGTGTTCTACCAGCTCAAAACTCAGTTGAAATCAGTCTCTACCCAGTCTTGCACCTAAAGAAGTGCCTCTGCCAGAAGAGATACTTCTCTGCAGGCTATGGGACTAGAGTATCGGTGAAACACTGGATAATAACTGGGTTTCCTGTTTGATGTGCATTTCAGAGGCAAGCGTGCAGCTTCTAAGTACGTGCTGATCATAGTCTGGGGACCGCTGCTTTGCTGTGAGGATGCTTTGGGCTCCTGGGAGTCCTTGTGAGTAACAGCAGGAGGCTCTCAGTAGCGTTCTTCACCAGCATTTCCCCTGCTTTCCTCCATGGGAATGGGAAAGGACTACATTTTTCTCCCCTCCAGAGGATAGGTGTGGCCAGGCAGCTTGGTTTGTGAGACAGAGGTGAAAAGTGGTGGAGTTTCAGGAGCCCCATGTTCCCATTTCCTGCTTGGTTCATCACCGGAGGAGCTATGTTATGAAAGCCTTGACCAGAGCAAAGTGGTGCGGACATGAGGGGCGGTGGCACCCCATCGGAGGAAGCTGGTCCAGGTGATGTGAGGGGTGGGGACCAGAATGAGGCTGTCCCACTCCTGTGTCTCAGGAGGGCCTGGGGTTCCCCAGGTCTTCTTCTGTGGGCCTTGACATTTTGCCTCTGGAACTCATTTTTTCCGGGAGAATTATTGAGTTGGCTGAGTTCTTCATTTTATTTTTCCAGAGATAGTGCATTGTGTTGAGAGCAGATCCCCACCTAAGACCGGACTGCCCAGTAACACTATTGCCATGGCTGCTGTTGCTGCTGTAGTGGGTTTCTTGAACTCTCAACCCAAGTGACCCAAATCCGTATATAAGCAGAAAGTGCTGTGTTTTATGTGGTGTTTGTGTTTTAAAAATGTTTATTAGAAATGCTCTAAAACATTATAACTTAAATAAAGGCAGTTAGAAACTTTATTAAAGCTAGTACTGAGACTAGCTTCAAATTTTCATATTTTTAAAATTTGCTTCAAAATTTTAGTATAAGTTGATAGAAAGATAAAACTTGGAGGTATTGTTAAATGAGAAAAAGTATAATATGTAATGTATGCTTATTCATAAACATACACTAATTGCAGGAGCAAATTATTAATTGTACAGTTGTCAAAGAATATTTGATAGTCTAGATTTCAGTGGAATCAACGAAATAAAGATGTACAGAGAGTCATGTTCTAAAGTACTCTTTCAGATATTGAAGACAAAGTCCTGTGGGACTTCACAATGACCAGTGAGAAGGGCCATCTGCAGCCCCTGGGTCATGCGGGACACCAACTGGGGACAGGCTAGAGACAGCCCAAGGCTGTGGCTGCCCCTGCCCACCCCACCCTTAGTCTCACTACTCTTGCCTAGGAAAGAGGCCTCTTGGAAGTAAAGACGGCGGACCCGGGGGAGTCCCCTGGCTGGATCACGGCAAAGCTGAGCCTGACTCTTTAAAACCGTTAAAAACGAGTCTTCTGTGCTTCCTTTGCCACCCTCTGTGGCAGTGCGACCACGATTACCTCAAGGCTCTGTTCGTGCTAAGCATGAGGTAAAGGTTATCTATCTGACAGGGGCCATTGTGGTGTCACTTCCCTCACCTGTGGGAGTTGGGGCCTCAGTGGCACCATGCTCTCTTGGCACCAGTGTGTCATAACTGCGGGTTAATCAGGTAGTTTGTCCCTTTCTGCATGGCAGGAAGCATGGTGTGGTGGGTAAGAGGTCTCACCCCGGCTCCGATGGTACCTGACCTCGTGCAGTCTCGGGAACAGTGAGGAACTGAGCTCTGTTGCTGGAGCTGCCGGAGGTGCTCTGTGCTGCAGCCCTGGAGGCCAGCATGTCCCTCCTAAACTTGGGCAGAGTCTTACCTCTTGCACCTTGCAGAGCTGCCTGTGATTCACCTCTGCCCAGGACTCCAGGTCCCTTTCTTGCACCGCCATTGGCTCACTTTGCCCAGCCAGTCATACCTCTTCTAGCCCGGGACAGTGTGAGAAGGGCCCCCAGGCCTCCCCGCACATGCCTTCTGCCTGAGGAAATGCTCTAGCTTTTCTGGGGCAATGGAGGCTGTACTGCACCCCTCTGTGGAGCCACTTGTGACCCAGGGTGGTATTTTTCTCTTTCTTCTCAGCCATCCTTAATTTGTGCCTGCACAGGTTACTGTGATTGTTCTGAAGGACCTGTGTGATGACCATAAGTGGTGATGGTTGCTGTTGATTGTCTCTCAGAGCCATGTGTGTCCAAGACTTGGCCCCAGCTCCTGGCTCTCAGTAAAAGGTATGGCGCCTCCGGGAGATGGGCCCTGGTGGGGGAAATGACGTCATCAGAGTATGGCCTTGAGGGGTGTTGGGACTTGGTTCCTTCCTGTTTCTTTGGCTTCTGGCTGCCCTGAAGTGAGCATCTGCCGTGTGCTCCCCCATGACGCATTGTGCTGGTGTATGCCAGAAGCTCAGGCCAGGTGACGGTGGACTAGAACCTCTGAAACTGTGAGCCAAAATGAGTCAGTTTCTGCTCCATGTAAGTTATGAATCTGATAGTTTGTCACAGTGATGGAAAGTTGTGATGTTACACACATACCATACACACAAGGTGGAAGCATTTTTGTGAGTTTGGACAATTTTTCATGCTCTTAGATTTGGTGGTACGTGAGCAGAAAGTACCAGAATATCCTTTCAATCATTTGGGGAAAAAATTGGTGGACTTTGAATAATAATATTTAAAGTAAAACACAAGTTGTTTCTCGAAAAGGTGTCTCATTTCTGAGGAATGCTCTGGACACTGCGATACTGATTCACTTTGTGTGTTAGAAAGAATTCTAGTTGCAAGGGACAGAAATGGACTCTGCTCAGTAAACAAGGAAAGGAAGGGGACCAAGTAGTTAACAGCAACAGAGAGTAAGTGGAGGAGCCCCAGGATAGAGGATGGCAAAGGCCAGACAGCGAGACAGAGCCCAGCGACTGCCACGAGCAGCCCTCTGGACACCTCAAGACTGCCACTTCTGTTGTCCAGGAAAGCCTGCTAACATAGGACCCACAGCACAAGTGGGCCACCTGCCCACTCTGGGCTTCAGGTGGGGGCTGAGAGGGAGCACCTGGTTTCTCTCACTTCTGTCCCACAAGGGAGAGCTCTGTGTCCCTCAGGACTCACACGGAGACATTTCTTCCAAACAAAGAATGTTCCAATCTGGTTGGCAACCCATCTCAAAAATTGGACTGTTTTCAAGCCTGTGCCTCAGACTACTCAACTCCTACATATGTCTGGAATTCCTGTGTTGCCACAGTGCTTGACCCCTCTACCACGCAGACTTGGTCCTGTGACCACAAGTGCAGTGTAATCCAATGGTCGTCAGATCCTTCAGCCAATTCCAAGCAACCAGAGCAGGTTGCTCGGCAAGATGGGGGGTGATCTCCTTCCAAGTACTGCCACCTGTAGTCTCTGCTCAGCAGTGGTGGCCCTGAGCGCCTGCAGAGGAGCTGGTTCTCCACATTCCATGTATGTTCCTTTCGTCTGCAGCCAATAATTCTGGTGCTGTTTTCCTCCTGAGACGGCTCCTCCATGTCTCATTACCGAAGAATCTCAACCTCAGCGCACTTGCCTGTACCCAGCACTCCTGGCTTTTCCTTTCATCTTACACTGTTCTGTCCGCTCTAGTGCCTCATGTTCCAGGCACAAGGAGGCAGAGAAACAGGAGAGCCAGGTCAGCCTGCTTCTATCAGGAGGGGAAATTCCAGCACAGGCATTAGCTTTGGTCTCTTAATCCCAGCTGAAAAGGGATCTGTGTTGACCTGACTCTGGGACCCACTGAAGACCAAAAGTAACTGGGAAACCAGCAGAGACTTGGAGGGGGCTACATGAAAGCTAACATGTGGGTTTGTGTGGCCCCAGAGTCCAGATGTGTGGCCTTGTGGCAAAGAATGCTGGATGGGTACCTGGCTCTGCCCTTGGAGGGGGTCCTCGTGTGTTCCAGGCTCTGGACCTGGATACTTTATTGAAGGGACACCCTGTGTGCATGTGTCATTTGCCTCCCCTACTGGCAAAGCATTGCTCCCAGTCACCGGGTGTCCTGTGTCCACGTCTGGCAGGTCCAGACTAGGATTTAACTGCTGCAGCAGTTTGTGGGCTTGCAAACCTTTGTCTCTGCCAGGGGAACTTGGGGGGCCTCAGGTACAGAGTGAGGGCAGCTACTGTAAGTGTCCCTGTTATCCAGCAGAAGTAGGAAGTTGGAGCTGGGGGCCTGGAAAATAACCCTAGGATGAGCTGTGACTGACACATCCACGACTGCAAAGGGAGCTCACCCCTCTGCCTCATTAACTAGCGAATCTCCCCACCAGCGCTGCTCCGGGTCCCCAGATTAGCAATCCTGTCTCAGCGTGATGGAGACGCATCACATACGTCCTATAAGTCACCCATCTCCAGTGCACAGAGCTGTGATTTTTAGCAGATTTGCCACGTTGTCTAACCGCCACCATAAATCAGCCTAGATTTCCTTCCATCCAATAAGGGCGCTTTGTGCCCCTATGAAAGACATAATTGGAGTGAAGAATGCATCTTTAAGTAGACTGAAGACCTGAGGCAGTGCCTGCATCTTGTTCCTCTGCATGATGAGGGATCACAATTTACTTATCCATGATTAACACTGAGATAGCTTCACGTTTCCTGACTTGATTAATGGAGGTACCGTGAACATCCCGGAGTATAAGTACGTGTGCACATTTCACAACACACGCTTAGGTTATGCTTCTAAAGGAAGAATGGAAACTATTAGGAGAGAACATGTAGGAATTATCAAAGTTACACAAGTCTCAAGGAAGAATACGGCTATGGAAGGGACTTTCCCACCTCTGTCATGGGCAGACTCCTTGTTGGGGCAGTGGATTTTAGTCACAACTGTCACCTCATGTGACAGGAGGGCATGACCTGTCTCTATGGACCTGCAGTGGCCCCCAAGGCTCTGCTCACTCTGCTCAGTGCCTTTGCTGCCAGGATCCCAACTGCTCGGGAACTGCTGCTAAACTTTCCTGAGACATTGCAGCCAGAGGTTAAGTGCCCATTCGAGTGCTGACCAGAATGGGAGGGCGATGGCCTCTGGAGTGAGTGTGTATGTGCATGAGTGTGTGTGTTCGCTGCTCTGTTTTCAAGAGACTGTCCATGGGGACTCTGACAAGAGCTGCTTTCAGGGGGTCAGGGCTGACCTGGGGTGACAGGAGCACTCTGATTTGGACTTGAGCCTCTGCCACCTTCCTGGGCTGGGCATCCACCCTCATCAGAGCCCAGTTCTCAGGGACCCTCACTGCTCAGAGCATGGCCACTACCACACTCGGGCACAGTTCTGACAAGTCTAGTGGCCCAGTGAACCAAACCATAGGCGACAGGACTACATGCTCACCTGCTGGGTTTTGGACTCTCTTTGGTTCCTTCCCTGTATCTTCTTGTTCCTAACTTTTGGAAGGGGAATGTCTATCATGACACTGAATGTTGGAAGTGTTTCACTTTCTTGTCATTTCTGTAGGGGTTTGTAGCTAAGCTTTTGCCTTAAATTCTCAGAGGAGACCTTGGACTTGGATTTTTCAGCAATGCTGAAACTATTAAGACTTTGGGGACTCAGAGATGGACTACATGCCTTTTGACTAAAGGGATCTCAATGAATTTTGAGAGACAGGGGTTGAATGCTATGGTTCATGTCTTGATGTACCCCCAAAGCCTCATGGTAGTCATAGGTGGGGCTTTTTACAGAGGTGACTAAATCCAGTGTGCAGTGCTAGGATTAAGGGTGTGATCATTAAATCAGTCCCCTGATTGGATTGGAACTACCCTAATCCCCTTAGCCTGGAAACAGTATAAGGCACAGAAAGGGGCTTGTCTTGTCCCTTGATTGGTTTTGTTGTCTTATGCTGCAATAAACTGTTGCCCCTCTATCACACCACCCCGCCTTGGAGTCAGCTGATTATGAGCTGAAACCTCCACAAACTGTGAGCTAAATAAACCTTTCCTCCTTTAACTTTGAGTGTTGGGTATTTTGTCTCAGCAAAGAGAGAAAAGTAACCAAGATACATGGGACACATTTTCAAATGCTACTTACTGTTTCAATAATGGCTTTTCTTGTGTCCTGCTGTTTTCCCCAGAACACTCTTCAGTAGGTGTTGGATGGCTGTGCACCTGAGGTGGGAAGTCCTTGGGTGGAATGGCTCTGCCCTGATCCCTGCTTACACGCCAGTGTTGTACTTTATTTCCTCCTTGATCCCTGTCCTTCTCCAGGTGTTCAGAGGAGTCACAGAATTTCCTGGGACAAAGAGGTCTGCTGAGCCTTGGAGAGGGTCTAGGAAGCCACAAATTTCTGTGACACAGCTCTGAGATTCTGAAGGCCTTGAAATTTGTGGTCCAATTGACTTCCTCAAAATGTACTGATTTATCCTGCAGGCCCCTCTGGGGTTTATAATGCACACACACGCATACATGCACACATGCATACATACACACACATACATGCATGCACAGCCTCTAAAAGCAGCCACGCACACACAGACCAGAGCAACACTCCTTAAGAAAGCAGAGGGGTTCCAGCACTCATTACCCAGTTAAGAAGGGTGGCTGCAAAGGGAGGGGGAGAGAAAAGGTGGACAGGCTTCCAGAGGAAAGAGTGACCTTTTGGAAAGGGTCACACATGGCATGGGCTGGGTTTAAAGCCAGTGGGGAGGGTGTAGCTCTCTTCTCCTGTGACTTCTGTGTGACACCTGGCAGGCCATGGAGCAGGGCATGTGTAAAGAATGGGGCCAGGCCATGTGGGATGTGGTGGCTTGCAAAGGTCTCCAGGGTAGCAGGGGAAAGGACAGGGACCCCATTAGACATTAATAGGCAAAGGATAGTGGTGGTGAAGAAGTAAATGAAAAGTCCTCAACCCTGAGTTAGGCTCCCACAGCTGCTGTGGTGAATTCACACAACCGTCTCCTGACAGCAGTGTGGGTTTACTGTCTGACGGTTCTGGAGGTCATGGTGTCCCTGGACTGCAGGTGGGGCATGGCTGGGAGGACCCATCCAGCTCCCAGGTGAGCCCAGGTACCTCACTCCTATGTCTGCTCCATCTTGTTCTCTGACCTCTTCTCACCCCAGGACCCTCATGGTCACCTTTGAGTCCACAGGGAGTGCAGCACTCTTTCCATCTCAAGACCTCTGACTCCTGGGAGTGGGGACAACATGTGGACATCTTGACCTTCACCCTGTGGGCACCGAGCACCTCTGGGTTTCCAGACTCCAAGAGTTGGGAATGATTTCGCAAGGCTTCCCATCTGGAGCTGGGGGAAAGTGAATGGAGGACCCAGGAATGAAGCAGAGATGAGTGTCTTCATTTAAGGAGTCAAGCACAGATCAATAAGAGCGAGAAGAAAGCAGTGGGCATTGAGAGAAGACTCATTCCAGATGAAGCAGAGACAGGAGGGTTGAGCTGTCCCACACTCAGTGTAGCAAATGTGGCTTGGGTCCCCGAGTCCTTTGCAGGCCTTGAGGGGACCCCAAGGGAAGCACTGTCCCACTTCAGGGCAACCAGAACACACGAGAGGACTTTCAGCAGCCCTGTCGGGATGCAAAGCTGCAGAGATGTGCTGCCTGTTTTGATAGCTCTGTGTCATCTTGGGGTGCAGGGAAGACCCCCTGCTGGATATTGAACAGGACCCAAACTCCAGCACAGTGCCTGTGCAGGGTGAGAGCTAGGACAGCCTTGTGGGGATGAAGGGACTCATAGCACCCAGCTTTGCCTGGGGGCCACAGCCATCCCAGGTGGACACAGCTGCAGGAAGGGCAAACTCCTTGAGGGTGGTGTGAGGACGTCTCAGGTGTCTGCAGGTTCAGACCCCTGAGTCCAGCCTGTGCCTGAATTCAGAGCCATCGGTGGTGTCCCCCACCCGTGACCCTGCACTGGCAGAGTAAGGCTAGAAATAAAACACCCATTCATTCTGGAGTCAGTGCATTCTTGCTAGGTACAGAGTAATGTATGTGGAAATAAAAATTATGTTCTTGAGATTGTCTCTATTTTTATTGGTGAAATTCAAATGAGTAATTTCCCTCAAAAGATGCATTCTCATTAAACTCTTAGTGTGAAATGGCATTCAAAATTTTTGCTGAACCAAGGAAGTAAGTGCAGAACTTACAGTGACTGCCAACTGATGAAAAGATAACTTTTTGGAGGACTTCCATTCGAATTGAAGAAAGTGAAAATTTCTTTGGCATTAAATTCTGAAAGGGCCCAGCTCTGGTTGGGGGATGTCAGCCCCAGGACAGGCCGCTGGGGGTGTGGAACTGCAGGGCAGGCCAGCCGCAGCCCCCTGCTGCAGGGCATCGCGTGAAGGAAGTACTCCTTCGCCATGAAGGAGGACACACTCTGTTGTTTATAGGAAAACAGATGCACATTGAGACCGTAGTGCCAAGTGAACTAAATCAGACACACGGGTTAATTTCCCATGGATAAGGAGCCCAAAGCTTCAATAGAGAGCAAAATAAAGGGCAGATGGCCCTTTCTCGGGGGAAGGGATCGGAAGGTGGGGGAAAGGCGAGAAGGGAAGGGGTGAAGAACGCAGATGTGTGGTGTCCACACACTGATGCCCCCTGAGGCATGGGGTCAGGATGTCCTGCAAATGTGGGCTAAGAGTTTACAGAAGAAGGGTTCTGAGTCCTGGAAGCTTTGGAGGAGAGCTTGGGGCATAAGAAGGTGCCTCTCTGAATGGGAAATCTGCGATGTGACAGAGCTGGCGGCCTTCTGAGCACTCTGTCCAGGACCTATGCATCTTGTGTTTCTGCTTTGGAGAGTGAGAATAGACAATGCCCTGCCATCACTGAGCTCTGAGAGGTGCCCTTTCATCTTCTTGGGTGGTTGTTTCTAAGCACTGGGGGTTTTCTGACTCATGTATAGCCTGGTAGGGCTCAGCCTACACAGGAGTGGGGACTTCTCTGCAGACCTCGTAAGTTTGTTTTTTAATGTTAAAATGAAAAATAAAAATGATGATACAGAATTTCAAAACAAAGCAATAGGAGATTAACAATGATTACTATTTGCATGTTGTTATATTCAAAGTAGTTGCTCAGATTACAAGGCATAGGCATGAGAAATTGATCAAACAATGAAAGCACAAGCCATTCTTTTTGATTAACTAACAGATTAGTAATGTAATTATCTACAATATATACATTTATATTTTTTCTATATCCTTTTCCTTTCTTTTCTCCTTTCCCCATCCCAGTCATTCTTTTCTTTTGAGCAGTTTCTTCCCCTTTCACTTTCATAATAGCTATTATATATTTTGGATCTTATTTACTCTTTCAGTTTTTTATAGCAAGGAGGCAATACAATGTTTGTATATGTCTGTCTGATTTATTTCACTTATGAGTATGGTTGCAAGTTGCATCCATTTACCTACAAAGTCTCCAGTTTATCCTTCTTTACTGCTGAGTAGTATTCCATGGCCTAAAAATATCACATCTTTTTATCTATTCCCTGTGTAATGGGCATTTGGGTTGTTTCCAATGCTTAGCTATTGCAATGATACTGCTATAAACATGGGTGCATATATATTGCTATAGTATGATGTTTTCAATTCATCGAGGAAAATACCCAGAAGGTGAATAGCTGAATTGAACTTCTAAACTTGGTCTTTTGATGAATCTCCGCACTGATTTCCACAGTGGCTGCACCACTCTATGTTCCCAACCACAGAGGAGCTTTCCTTTTTCCCCAGAGCCTCGCCAGCACTTGTTATTGATTGATTTGTTGATAGTAGCCATTCTTTTTTGGGTTAGGTGGACTCTCAGTGCTATTTTAATTTGCAACTCTTGAATGAGCAGTGATGTTGAACATTTTTTCATATATTTATTTGCTGTTTGTATTTCTTCATTTAAGAAGTGTCTATTTATCTCAGATGCCCATTTTTGGATTGGGTTTTTGGATTTGGGAGGCCTGATTTCTTTATTCTTCATATGTTCTAGATAGAAGTCCTTTGTTTGAGGGACAGTTGGCTAATTTTTTTTCCGCTCTGTGTGTTGTCTTTTCACTCTACTGATGAGCAAAATTTTTTGATAAGAAGAGATCACAGTTATTGATTCTCTGAAGTACTTCCTGTGCAGTTTGAGTTTTGTTCGTGAGCTTTCTGTCTACCTTGGCTTCCAGTTGATTTAGTATTTCTGTTTTAATATTTAGATTTTTGATCCATTTTGACTTGACTTTAGTGCATGGTGATTGACATGGGTCTAGTTTGTAGTCTTGAACATGTAAAAAGCCAGTTTTTGAGCACCATTTATTAAAGAGGTTATATTTCTTCCAGTGAACATATTTGTCCCCTTTGGCAAAGATGAGGTAGCTGAGTGTCTTTGTAGTTGTGTCTGCATCATCTAATATGTTCAACTTATCCTCAGGGCTTTTTTTTGCTAGTTCTATGCTGATTTAATTACAGTAGTTTTGTAGTATAATTTCAGGTTAGATATAATGATTTCTCTTGTTTTGCTTTAGTTTCCCAGGATTGCCTTTGCTATTCTAGGTATCATCCTTTTACAAATTAATTTTTGGAATGTTTTCTCTAGATGTGTAAGGTACACTGATGATATTTTGATCAATTGCATTAAATTTGTATAATAGTTGTGGGAATATGGCCATTTTTACAATGTTGGTGCTTTCTATCCATGAGCATGGGATATCTTTCCATTTTTCTGATATCCTCTTCAGTCTCCTTTTTCAACAAAGTGTAATTTTCAATATACAGCTCTTTTATATCATTTGTTAGATTCACCCTTAAATAGTTCATGTTTTTGGTTGCTATGATGTAGGTGCAGTTTCCCTAATTTCTCTCTCAGTGAGTTTGTTGTTTGTGTGCAGGAATGCTGTTGATTCTAGAGTGTTGACTTTGTATCCAGATATGCTGCTAAATTTGCTTATTAACTATTAGTTTTTGGTAGAGTTTTGGGGTCTCTTTGTGGAGTATCCTGTCATCTTCAAACAATAATTTAATTTCTTTTCCTATC